TGATACTGATACTAGAGTCGGACACAACTGGCCAAATTGTCAAGGGGAAATCTTTTAAGGGAGAGGAAGCATCTCAGAGTCTTAAGATTAATAGATCATGTCTGCCTTGGGTTGCTCTTGGCCTCCCATGTGCCAAAGGATGAGGGAGAATCCTTGCTTGCGACCCTACGCAGAATTGGAAAAGTTACTTTTCTGGGTTGCAACCCCCAGAACATCCAGTCAATGTGACCACGGAAATCCACAAGGATTACATATCAGGAAGCATATTTGAAGCTGCTAGTCACGTCAGAAGGCCCTCGTAGTTGTTTTTAACAACTTTGAGGTGTTTTTCCTCAACTTAAAAAAAATGCAGCAGGTGTGAAACACGTTTTAATATTGACATAGCTCAGTTGGCTTTTACCACATCCTCCTCCCACATGGAAGGCTGTAGCCGATTATTTTGTGAGTCAAATCTTCAGCTTACCTCCTCTTTTTTTGGCCAACTCCTATGAAGCTGGCAGGAGCAGGCAGTTTTGGTGAGACACCAACGCCAGGAAGTGGCTCAGTTAGGACATGGGAGTGAGCAAGGGAAAGGCAGAGGCCGGCCTGATGTTTTACAGGATGTTTTGTTGGTTTCGATAAAATCTTATCCCCACCTCATCCCCAATGTGATTGGTTTACATTTCCAAATCAAGAATGCGCCATCAGTATAATTTAAAACTTGTAACGTTCATCACAAGTGGGGTGCAAGTTACAAGTAACACAATTAGCTATAACTAGTTTTTGGATGCTTTACCATTTCAGACATAAAGTAATGAGTTGGAGCCATTGCCGTTGCTGTCACGAGTAACATTTTCTGGGTGCTTCCAGAAGCTCACTTGAAGGCATTTTAAAGCTATTTTAACAGGAATTTTATGCCTTATCTTACCAATCATTTTGTTGCGTTGCAAAGTTGTCTTTTTTGGTTGGGATGACACAATCCCAGAATCTTTGATCATAGGAGAGATTCTGGAAAGATGCAGTGGAAAAAAAAAACACAACTGCTGGATAGCTCAGTGGTTTAGGGTTGGGATGACACAATCCCAGAATAGGAGAGATTCTGGAAAGATGCACTGGAAAAACAAACAAACAAACAAACAACTGCTGGATAGCTTGGTGGTTTAGGTCTCAGAGCCAGAGAGAGGTTGGGAGTTCGATTCCCCCATGGGGCCTCCTGGATAGGGGCTGGACTTGTTGATCAACAGGGTCCCTTTCCAGCTCTGAAGTTCTGAGATGAGGATGAGGACTAACTTTTCCAAGCTGGGGGTTGGTTGGTTGGTTGGTTGGTTGGTGGTTTGGTTTGGTTTGGTTTGGTTTGGTTTGGTTTGGTTTGGTTTGGTTTGGTTTGGTTTGGTTGGTTGGTTGGTCGGTGTGGTTGGTTTGGTTGGTTTGGTTGGTTGGTTGGTTGTAGATATAGCTTAGAAAATCTTTGATAGAAGGCAAGCTGTCCCAAACTCATTGATAGTGACTGGTTTCAGAAACTAAGCAGGGTCAGACCCTGGTGGATGTCAGGATGGGAGACCCCCCCAGGACACATCAGGGATCACCAGGTAGGAGTAAGAGAGAATTCTACTTGGAACTGCACAGGATTGCTGCCCATCAGAGCTGTTGCTCTCAAGCTAGATAGACCAATGCTCAGTAGAAGGCTTAAAAAAATAAGAAGTTCCCATGTTTGCATTTTGATCTCAGGAACCCATTCTGTGCTTGTGTGCCATTAGGACTGGCTGCTTCAGTTGCATTTTCCAGCCCTGGTGCAACTTCTGTCTCTTAATCCTTCACCTGCAAAAAGTATAAGCAGGTGACACTTTTCTTGGCAATGTGACAAAGCAGTGAGGGAACTCTGCATGCCCTCCATTTCTGTGTGCCAGGCTACGATGAAAGCAGAGCAACAGAGGTAGCAATTAAGCGACCAACCTGCTATTCTAACTTTGAAATTGCTGGAGTTACTCACGATTGTGTCCCCCACCCCACCCCAGCACGCCCATTATTCCTTGCTCCATCTTCTGTGCTGTAAATATTTTAGGAGAAATGAAGAACGCTTCTCTAATAATGGGAAATAAAAAATGTGAGTCTATTCCGCTGGGGTCATTGAGTCAACAAAAGAACTCTAATTTTTGGAACCACAAGCTAAGGAAGGAAGAGGTTTCATGGCCCTCTCCACGCATCTTGTTCTATGCTTTGCATAACTTGAATTTCTGCTTGACATCAGCCCCAAACAGTAATTACATTGATTGGAGAAGGTTCCACTTTTCATGAAGCTTAGGGTGTTAGTCACAGCATTCCACCCCCTCCACAATCTCGTGGAAATAACAGGAGGCAGGTGAGGGATTAAAAGAAAGAGGCGAGCTTCATGTGGCCGGTGTTATCTGGGAGATTAGGGAGAAGAGAGACCCAAGAAGAGGTGAGCGAAGAGGCCTATCCATGCAGACGGGAGGAGAGCGGCACGAATAAAGCCACACCAAAGGAGCCACGATGCATCCTGCAGCTCAGAAAGGAGGAGAGGATGAAGCCATCAAGGTAGGAACATCATCGTCATCTGTCCCACCGGAGCCATGACAAGCTCTTCTGATGCTTGGCCATTGGTTCCTCTTGGTTGTGCTTAGGTTGCATGAGATCAGCACCTGTGCGGAGCGGATAGAGGACCGGGGAGGATAGAAGCTTGGTCTGAGCATGTGATGTCCATATGGGGTCTGGGTTGAATCAACCTCTTTCGCATTCCCTCTTGCCTGGTGAAGAGCAGATGGAAATGGCCAATGTGTTCAGGACAGGCAGGTCCACAGCCATCATCGGTGAACACCAATGGGCAGCTTCCTTCCCTGCCACACATTTTTGCACGCTCCAAATTTCAGTGCTTTAGGGTCATATAGCCCATCACCCTGCCGTACGGATGGCTCAGCGTTCCATTGTCAAACAGGCCTTGCTGCCAGCCCTTTCTTCCCGTGTATACTTGGAAACTAGTGGGAATTTGAATTCAGAGCCACTATGCCTCTTTTTAGACATCCGTGTGATGCATTAGGCAAAGCGAGACGGTGGCCACAGGGAGCGTATTTTGAGTGACATTACAGTTCCTTAGCCTGTTGTTTTTACAGGCTTGGAGAGAGGTCTTTGGTGGGATTTAAAAATATTTATTTTATTTTTTAGTTGGTGGGCCCGAACAGCTTGACTAGTTTTGTGTACTAGGTACCTTTACATGGGTGGGGTAGAGGTAATATTGGGGGAGGGGGGGCAGGCTGTAGGTTCCCCAATGTGGAATGAATGAAGAAAGAAAAAGGGATACTTGAACTGTAATTTATCGTAAAATGCCAAAGCTACATGCTACAGTTATCTCAAATGCAGGCTGAGTTATTCTGCTGCAAAAACAGGATTCGTAATATGTCATTGAGAGGGGCCACAATAATTCACTGCAAAGACCATTAGAATGTATAATGCTATGTATGATATCATATAGACATCTTCCATCAGCATAAGCCTGTATTTGAAAATCTAATGCAACCATGCCAGTTCTACAGCAGAGATAAACAAACTGTAGCCTTCTAGGAGTTACTAGTCGCAGTCCTTAACTGACTTTGGGTTTGCTGGCTGGGACTGAGAGAGCTTCTTTCCAATACCTAGAACACAATGGTGTAGGGGAACCAGGGTTTGTTGGGTCCACGGTCTGGGACTTTTTCAGGACCAGGAACGATCGTATCCTCCTATCTACCATGACTTCCTTATGCCCTTTGTGCTTAGCTGGGAAAGAAAAATGGATTTTTTTTTTTGAGGAACTGCATATTGTTCTTAAGTGGCTGGCTAGCTCAGTGGTTAGGCGTCTGGCTTCAGACTCAAAGGCTGGGAGTTCAATTCCGCACTATGCCTCCTGAAAACAGAGCCAGCCTAGGTGGCTTTGGGCAAACTGCAGAGTCCTAGAACAGCCCCAAGAAGAAGGGAAGGGTCAAACACTTCTGAGTATTTTGCACTTAGAAAACCGTGAAAAGGGGTTGCCATAAGTCAAAATGGACTTGATGGTACATAATAATGAGGATGATATTGCTGCTACCTATCATTGTTGTAGTGCAGAATACTTAAAGGTGATTTGGTCTGGAATTGGTGATTCCGAACATCTGTTCTCCAAAGTTGAAGAAGACCTAAATAAACCTTCCTAAAATATTGTCTTTTATTTTACATTTGAGGTCCGTACTGAGATATATATGAAAGCCTGATATAATTGTAGGGCTTGGTAGAACTTAGCTTTCTCTCGCTTGGCAATCCAGCATTACAGCACTCACATAAACCTCGTGTTTCTTACTGGTAAGGCTGAGGCTCAGACAAAATCTGTCTCCATATTCTCCCTGCCTTTCACAACCGAGCCTAAGAAAACAGGTCCGGGAAGATCTGAGGGAGCTACTCAGTCCTCACCACTAAGAATAGGGGTGGAGGTTGTGAGGCAGGAATGTTCCCCAACGGCCTGCCTCCTACTATAGAACAAGGAACAATCCTGAGATAAATAAAGCAATAATGAGTGCCTCTTTGGGCTGTGAATGCATCTGGAACGAAGCGGTGTTTTGAGTCCTTATCAAGTAGAGTGGAGCCTGGAGCGCTGATCTTCCTTGGCAGATACAGAATTTAGAGAATTCTTGACTTGAAAAAAGACCTATGTAATCTGGGGTAAGTCTTTTTATCTTTCCGGGCTTAAGGTGGTGAGATGGAAATCTGGAAGAAATTTGAATGACAACTCTTTAATTGAATGCAGAGGGATGGCGGTTTAGGAGAATCTTGAATAATTTACTAATTTTAAGTTGTGTTATATTTTTATGTGTGTACGTTTTAAATATATATATATATGCATTGGAAGCTGCTCAGAGTGGTCGGAAGACCAGATGGGCGGGGTACAAATCAAATAAATAAATAAAATAAAGAAAAATAAATCTTGCCTCTGTCGGCATGCAAACCCTTGGTAGGTTGAAGACTAGGGCAGCCATTTTAGATGGGTGAAATGGACCACTATGGACGGTAGGTTTTAGGGTAAGGTTCAAGGGCAGAAATTTTCAGAATGATTCCGTTTGTTACGTTGGCTTGTTTCTACTGCTGGAAGATAGGACACCATTTGGGCTAGCAACAAAACGTCTCGGGCCACCTCAGAGTAGGCCAAGCAGATTCCCTCTTGGTCAATTGGGTCAGGAGGGAATTTGGCTACACCATGGCTGGTTCCTCTCAGTT